GAAGAGATTTGTCAGAAGTCATATGATCAGAAGCTTCAGAATCTATAATCCATAATATGTTCTCTATTTTAATAAGCAAACAGGTTCTGAACAGACCACTTTCAGGCATTAACTCACCAGCAAAGTTGGCTGAAGCCAAGAGATTTGGAGTGGAGCTTGAACTAGACAAGTGTGACTGCTGTAGCAACATCATCAATTGGGAATACTGCTCTTTAGTAAAACCAGGCACTATAGACAGTTGTTCAGACTGAGATTGGGGCTGGTCATCAGAACCCCCAAAAGAACCAAGAAAACCAGATTTGTCCACTTCAGTATTGGCAGCCATTTTCCTTGGACCAGTAGTTTTGGAGAATTTGAAGTTTGGAGGAAAATCATGTAATTTGTAGCACTTTTCAATAGTATGGCCTGGCTTTATTAGAAGTATCAAAGCTGACTTTTGAATGAAAATTCCAACATTAAATGAGGCAGAACTTGAGGAAAAGTGAGAGGCAGAAGAAACTTGTCTATACTTTTCATCACTCAGCAATATGTTGTATACAATGTTCATGGAAGGAAGAGGCTTTAACATAATGATGTTGCTCCTAACTTGAAGGTAGGTCTCATTAAGTCCCATCAAGAATTGATACACCTTTTCCTCCTCTTCAGCTTTTTTATTTCCTCCACAAGTACAAACACTCAGATGATTGACGGAGATAGAGGCTATTTCATCCCATAGTTGTTTGATTTTATTAAAATAAGAGGCAATATCTAAGGACCCCTAGAAAATATGTGCTAGATCTTTCTTTAATTCAAAAATCCTAGCACCGCCAGCTTTCCCATATCTCTCTTCTAGTTCATTCCAGATATCTTTGGCAAGTTCTGAGTATTCAACACTACGAGAGATTTTCTTAGTGAGAGAATTGGTAAGCCAGGATACCACCAAGTCATTACAACGTTGCCACTGTCTGGCAAGAGGAGAACCAACAGGAGGTCTCTCAGTAGTCCCATTTATAAAATCAAGCTTATTGCGCACAGATAAGGCAACCGGTATATTCCTTCACCAGCTACCATAACAGGTACCATCGAAAGGAATAGACTAAAGAAGCTCCTAAGATATCTGAGGGATGAACATAGAGAGGGTGACAAGGATGAGTAAAGTCATCAGGATGAAAAGCAGTGTGGCGAGCAGAGGAGTTAATTGGAACAGATGAAGATTCAAAAACACTTTTTTTTGCAACAGAAGTAACAGTACCAATCATCATTTTACTCAAACAATATCAACTAGCTAGATATGCAAGTGAGATCATAGAATCTGACAATGAAAAAAATGAATAGAGATGAAACAATGTTACCTAATTTTTCACAACCGGAAAGACACAGCCTTGAGATGAAAAAAAAACGAAAGAGAAAGCGGAAGCCAAAACCCTAGAATCCGATGAGAGTCCAGCTGATAAGTCCTTACTGTCCCAATCGCTTGTAGGAATCAGAAGGATAAGACGAGATAACAACAAACAGATGAAAAAATTTGAAGTACCAAACACCGAAACCCTAGGAATCAGAAAATGCCTCTGATGAGAGAACTCAAACAAAATTCGGGCGAAAAATTACAGGGGTAACATCGGACAATAGCCAAGGACGAGCTCTATCATAATCCAAGCTCTGATACCATGTTACAAGCTGGAATCGACATTGATTTGAGAAGAGGCTAACTAGGGCTTGAAGTTTCATAGAGAAAGAGAAAGAACAAGCAGACCTTTTATTTCTTATCTCTGTTCAAAATAAAATATTTCTTTTTTGTACAAAATAGAATGTGGGGGGCACTATTTTATATGACCCGACTCAGTCAGTCCACTAAAGCTATAAATCAAAACGTGGGCCAAGCCCAAATACACTAATTACACTAACTAGCCCACATCAGTACAATTATTAAACTCAACAAATTTTTTGGTGAAAAACTTATCAGTTAATTATCTCAAAGCTGTATTTAAACAAAATTTAGTTAATTTAATCTATGAGAATTGGAGAAACATTAGGTACAAACTGATGTGATAAAGTTTTCTTTTTAATATTTCCAATCTGTATTTACACAAGTGATTTGTTATTGTTTTGGTGTAAACTTAGAGTAATTAAATTATTTGGTAGTACCTTCCATAGCATATCTACTGGCATTTGTTTGTGCAAAATTTCTTGCGAAAAGTGAAGATAAGTTTTGGAAGATGATATTTATTTCAAAATTTTGGAAAAAGTTTTTTTTAAAGTTAACAGGTGTTAGCTAGATGAGTTATTTTTTCTCAAAAACTCCTCCGTCACTCATAAATCTAAAACTAATTACATCTATTCAAATGTATCTTCATGTTTCGCAGTTTTCTTAGAGAATATTTTTCCAAATGTTGTCCAAACAAAAACCTGATTTTATTCAATAAAAACATAAATTTTGGGAAAATAGCGGTGGAGGCGGCAGTGCCTGATTGGCGGGTAGTGGCGTTTGATGAGAATCTATGCACGACGTTTCCTTTCTAACACAAACAATACTCAGTTAACATTAGACGCTCAAATCTCTGAGAATCCGGACCGCACGTCAGTTTCTGCTAATTGTACCTTTTTTCCCTTTCGTAGATTTCACATTTTCACAGTACGGCCTTTTTAGCTGTCTTCTTTCTTACATTTATGTTTTCTTTTTTCATCAACGCTTTTCTGTCGTGCGTACCTCCACTCTCCTTCATTTATGGCAAACTTCTTGTTTTTCTCGCTTATTTTGTGAATTTTAAGGTTTAATTGGTGTGGAGAGATTGGTAAATAAAAAGGAAATTTTATACGTTCATTTTGTCAATTCAAATTGTAAATAGTCATAGAAAATTAAAGTATATAGTGATAATGGTATCATCTAAAAACAATTCGTACTTAACTGTCGAAGGTTAAATTGGAATTAGCCAAAGGAAATTTTGAAACCAAATTTGTGAAGTTTAGATAAGAAGATAAAAATAATGATAATATTGTAAAATACCTTTCGCTAAAATAAACTATAAATAACCGAAAATAAAAGAAACAAAACAAAAACGCAAAACTCACACTTCTTTTTATTAAGAGTCAAACATAGATATTTTTGTTGCTCCTATGACATAGATGCTTATCCCGTTGATTTCTGTGACATTTCATACAGTGATGGAATTAGGAAAAAGAAAGTTGACATTATAAATCCTCTTTACATGAATTGGCTACATGACCACCAATTACACAACCTAGCTCTTCTCCTATACTAATTCTAAATTGTATTTTTGCTGCGAAATAAAAAAGTATGAGAATAGTGTTGGTAAAATAATTGCAAGAACGAAATATTAGTAACTTCGATAGTGTATTCACTGCCTTAAAATTTATTCCTTTTACTATATGGCTACTAGGATGCTTGGCAGAACTCTTTTAGAACTTACAAAACCAAACAAAATCAAAGTTTCTAATGCTTGATCTTTCACAAGCATACGTTCTGAAAGTTTTTGAATAGAAGAGAAAAATAAAGGCGATTTTTTTTTACGCTTTGGACTTATAAAATACTACCTCTGTTCCAGTATAGATGAAACTATTTCTTTTTTGGTCTGTTCCAAAAAGAATGACCCCTTTCTAAATTTGAAAACAATTTTGCTTAAATTTACAATTCTACCTTTAATGTGAAGCTTTTATACACAAATACTCTGGACCCATTTTTGACTTGTTTAAAACCACAAATTCTAAAAGTTTTTATTTTTTTTAAATTTCGTGCTCAGTCAAACATGTTCACAGAAATTGAAATTAATTATTTATATATAGCCTATATGTCTGTTAAGACATGACTGTTAGTAGACTTCACATCTCTGACTAAAATATTAATTGTTTGACTGAAAGATCAACTACTTTTGGGCTAATATGGGAGACAATTTGCACTATCTTTCTCAACACTAATTCTTATTCTCAATCAGTAAATAATACTATTACGTTGAAAAAAAGAAGTAAATGATACAATTACGGAAAGATCATCACCAAAATGAAAAAGTATGGAATTATTGTTGAATTTCTAGTTTAAAAAATTTCATCAACTACTTATCACCAATTAAGATCAAACGACAATGTGAAAATTTGCTAACTACAACACAAACAAGGTGTGCATCCATATATGTGAACTCTTCAAAGAATGAGTAGTGAATGGTGGTTGTACAATATAATGTAAGAGATCTAACCTTCTTACTATTATTTCTATAGCAGTAATTTAATTTGGTGGTGAGAGAAAAAGGAATAGCGTGTGGACCCTCAAGTATACAATTCTGAGATGATCCATCGATGCATTCACGTTTGGAAAGAAAATTTTATAGCACAACACACAAACATAGGGCTTTAATATGGTAAGTAAAATTAAAGGGGTAGTAATGAAGAGTAGCATTTTCATTAAACAAAGCCAGATAGAAGATGAAAAAAAGAGAGACCACGTTGATGGCCTCAACCCCTCGTCCAACTGTCTGCTCTTCTGTCTTCCTGCTTTTCTCCATTTTCTTATTCTAATTCC